TAGATCATCTTCGAGGTTCCTCAAAACCGGACGAAGCATGTTCAGTGCAAAATTTCTGCTTCGAGTATATACCTGCATAACTGTGATAAACCACTAGAAAACTAAATGATAACATTCAATTAAACCAAAAATCGAAAGATTTTTCAGAAATCATAAAAAACCATTTCCGGGTTTTTCTTACTGTCGCTCGCGTCTCACTGTGGGCTTCAAAAAATCGTGGATTGTGAAAGACGAGGCGGGGAACAGAGAGGAAAAGGCGGTGAACGGAATGTGAAGAGACGAGTTATGCGTGAGATGGAGAAACCAGGTTCGTCTCCCTTCCAAACACTTGGGTTTTGCGTGATGAAGCCTTTAGGCGTGAAGTGCTGTGAAGTTATGGTGCTTGGACAGTTTTACCCTTGTGGAAAATAAAAATTCATTTTTTTATTTAACGATGAATTCTAACGGTTTGTGGATGAAAGGACGTTTTGCACAAGAAAAGGTAAAGGTAGGGACTTTCTACGCCAAGAAATCAAAAGTAGAGACGTTTTCTACAATAATCACCAAATGTATGAATGTTTTGCGCCAATTACCCATATTTAATTATTCTTATAAATAATTATTTTATTAAATTAAATATTCCATAAACTTATGCATCAATGGATTGACGTGCCATGTTATTCTACAAATCATTTAGTAAAAAGAGAGACAAAACTAGAAATATGAGGGATTAATTTAAAATTTTAAATGTAAGGAGGTTGTCTTTAACATTTTATAAAGTTCAAATTTTTTTCTGATATTTTTTCTAAGGGGTAATTAGCACAAAATGTCCTCATCTTTTGTTGTTATTGCATTTTTTAGCATTTCCACATTTCATTGTGCAAAATGTCATTTTTATCAATTTTCTCAATTAAAAATTGTGAAATGATGAAAATATCATTCCTTTTAAATAAAAAAAAAAGAAAAAAAAAAAGAAAAAACTAATTGCAAACATAGTCCCAACTTTTTTGAAAATCACAAATGAGTCCCAATAAATTATTAAAAGGGTAATTAACACATAATGTCCATACCTTTCATTATTATTGCCAAAAATATCCCCACCTTTTTTTTGGCATTTTCTCCATTACTTATACTTTGATAGCGCAGACCATCATTTTTATCCAATTTCATCCAATTTCTCAATAAAGAACTGTGAAATAATGAATATACCCTCATATTTAAATAAAAATTATATTTTTTATTTTTTAATTCTTTAATAATTTATTTGGGACTCGTTTGCACTTTTAAATTTTTTTCATTTTTTAAATAAATTTAATTGGGATTCATTTGCACTTTTCATAAAAAAATTAATTTTTAAAATAATTTATTGATGACTCGTTTGCACTTTTTTTTTTAACAATTGGGACATTGGTAGCAATTAATTCTTTTGTTTTTTTTTTATTTAAATATGAGGATATATTCGTCATCTCACTATTTTTTATTGAGAAATTGGATGAAATTTGATAAAAATGATGGTTTACACTATCAAATTACAATTAAGGGAGAACATGCAAAAAAAAAAAGGTAGGACTGTTTTTCGCAATAATAATGAAAGGTATGAACATTATGTGCTAATTACCTTTTAATAATTTGTTTGAGACTCATTTGAGTTTTTAAAAAAAGTTGGGACTATGTTTGCAATTAGTTTCTTTCTTTTTCCTTTTGTTTTATTTCTAAGGAAGGGTATTTTCGTCATTTCACAATTTTTAATTGATAAAAAAGATCTTTTGCGCAATGAAATGTGAAAATAAGGGTGAAAATGCCAAAAAATGAAAAGTATTGACGTTCTTCACAGTAAAAGGACGTTTTGTGGTAATTACTCTTTCTCTAAGTGTATATATTGTTTAGTTTTCTTTAATTTTGAGGCAGGCATAGTAATGACTAATGATGTATGAAGTTTTTGAATTGACATGATTATGCCACTGTTTGGTGGCGATTAAAATCAGATTATTCCATCAGTAACTTATCGCAAGTGGGAATTGGTAGCAATTAATTCTTTTGTTTTTTTTATTTAAATATGAGGATATATTCGTCATCCAACTATTTTTTATTGAGAAATAGGATGAAAATAGATAGAAATAATGGTTTACGCTATCAAATTACAATTAAGGGAGAAAATGCCAAAAGATAAAAATAAAAGGTATGGAATATTTTGCAATAATAATGAAAGGTATGGATATTATGTTCTAATTATCCTTTTAATAATTTATTTGAGACTCATTTGCTCTTTTCAAAAAAAGTTGGGACTATGTTTGCAATTAGTTTTTTTCTTTTTCCTTTTGTTTTATTTAAAAGGAATTATATTTTCGTCATTTCGCAATTTTTCATTGATAAAATTGATAAAAATGGTCTTTTGAGCAATGAAATGTGGAAATAATGGTGAAAATGCCAAAAAAGAAAGGTATGAACGTTTTCCAACACTATTTTTTATTGAGAAATTGGATGAAATTTGATAAAAATGATGGTTTACACTATCAAATTACAATTAAGGGAGAACATGCAAAAAAAAAAAAAAGGTAGGGATGTTTTTCGCAATAATAATGAAAGGTATGAACATTATGTGCTAATTACCTTTTAATAATTTGTTTGAGACTCATTTGAGTTTTTCAAAAAAGTTGGGACTATGTTTGCAATTATTTTCTTTCTTTTTCCTTTTGTTTTATTTCTAAGGAAGGGTATTTTCGTCATTTCATAATTTTTAATTGATAAAAAAGATCTTTTGCGCAATGAAATGTGAAAATAAGGGTGAAAATGCCAAAAAATGAAAAGTATTGACGTTTTTCACAATAAGAGGACGTTTTGTGCTAATTACTCTTTCTCTAAGTGTATATATTGTTTAGTTTTCTTTAATTTTGAGGCAGGCATAGTAATGACTAATGATGTATGAAGTTTTTGAATTGACATGATTATGCCACCGTTTGGTGGCGATTAAAATCAGATTATTCCATCAGTAACTTATCGCAAGTGGGAATTGGTAGCAATTAATTCTTTTGTTTTTTTTAATTTAAATATGAGGATATATTCGTCATCCAACTATTTTTTATTGAGAAATCGGATGAAAATGGATAGAAATAATGGTTTACGCTATCGAATTACAATTAAGGGAGAAAATGCCAAAAGATAAAAATAAAAGGTATGGAATATTTTGCAATAATAATGAAAGGTAGGGACATTATGTTCTAATTATCCTTTTAATAATTTATTTGAGACTCATTTGAACTTTTCAAAAAAAAGTTGGGACTATGTTTGCAATTAGTTTTTTTCTTTTTCCTTTTGTTTTATTTAAAAGGAATGATATTTTCGTCATTTCGCAATTTTTCATTGATAAAATTGATAAAAATGGTCTTTTGAGCAATGAAATGTAGAAATAATGGTGAAAATGCCAAAAAATGAAAGGTATGAACGTTTTCCATAAAAGATAAAAATGGTCTTTTTTGCAATTAAATTTGGAAATAATGGTGAAAATGCCAAATAAGAAAGGTATGAACGTTTTCCATAATAACAATGAAAGGTGGGGGACGTTTTGTGCTAATTACTCTTTCTCTAAGTGTATATATGGTTTAGTTTTCTTTAATTTTGAGGCAGGCACAGTAATGACTAATGATGTATGAAGTTTTTGAATTGACATGATTATGTCAGTGTTTGGTGACGATTAAAATCAGATTATTCCAACAGTAACCTATCATAAGTGGGAACTTCCTCCTCATGTGACACTCCTCAGCTTGAGGACAATCTCTCTTTTATTGAAACTGGTGAAATGTGTGGTTAAAAAATTGTATAACCCATAAAATATGTTGTTAAAATTAATTGTTAAATTTGATTTATATTAAAATATAGATTTTAATAGGTACCAAACATGAGCTATATATTAAGTTATGATGCGCACAATACATAATTATAACATGTTTGGGAAAGATACCAAACGTGGCCTTTTTTCATAAATAGTCATAATAGGCCAACTAAATCAAAGAATATGCTAGGGGTAATTATACTTATATATTATATTTAAAAATATATAATTTACGTGCTATTGATTAAAAAGGTTTAACAAAAAAATACGAGAATTTACTATACACACACTACATTTTACATGCGGCGTTTTAGAAATTATGGTTTACGTTGAACTGCTATTTCGAAAATGTTTATTTAAGTCATGTTTGGTACACATTAAAATTTTCATTCTCATTCTTTTACACATTTTCAACAACACATTTTTCAATAAAATAATATTTTACATTACATCAATAATTTTTCCTTCTTTTTCAATCACACATTCTTCACTAATTTACTATTTCAAAATATATTCTTCTAAAATAATCTGACTAAAACACACCCTTACTTTTAAATTTAAATACTGCCTTTTAGAAAATAATATTTACTTATAATTGACAAATCAGGATATTCTTAACTTCTCAGTTCTACCGACTCTTGTCAGAAAAGATACTCCTGTCTCAGCAAGCACAACCACCCAGTATTTACAATAATATACTATTATTCTGCACACAGACATAAATTCTTCTGGTCAGAATAATAATAAATAACATTCTTGTATTCAAACCAAAAAAAAAAAAGGAAATTCCTCTTTAGCCTAACCATGCCACGAGTGGGAATCGGATACTCATAAATTTAATTCTCAAAAATTTATCACTTAATTCAAGAACTTATGCTCTACAGGAAGAAACTAGATCAATTAAAAGGAATTTGAATGTACAAATTTCTCTCTAGATCTCTCTCAACCTTAAGAATTTATTGTAGGGAAGTTAAAATATGCTGAAGGGCCATATCGAGTCTAGTATGACGCAGAATACACCTCAAAATATGACCAGATTCACACCCTATGTACTTATATAGAACATAAATAGCACAGCCATTTACCAGGTCAATCATTCATTTTCCTACTTTTATATATAAGCTACTTGATCAAAGAAAACAATTACCAATTTTGAACTTGCGAAAGTACCTTCTTCATCTCCTTCATCAAAATGGATACTGCTCAATGGTCTCAGGTATAGAGATCGGCCACTATTTTTTTTTTCAAATTGTATTGTTTTTGCTTCTTTTGAAAATGTGTTGTACTTTACTTTCTCTTTTGTTTGTGTTATAAAGGAGTTAAAAAAAGATAAAATTTGTCATAATTTGCTGTTGATGATACTTAAAAAGTGTAAAGCAACCGACTTTATTTGTTTGCTTCTTTCATGTCTGTATCTTCTTTAGTTCTTGGTACTTATTTTCTGTTAATTTGATCTTGAAGCTTGAATAATTATACATACACAGTCCAGTAAGGTAGATTCAACACTTTTAGACGATACAGTCTAGTCTTGTGTAATATCGCGTTTCAAACATATTGCGTATCAGATAATTTGAGGCTTTTTAATTTGTGTCTTCTTGAACTTTTAGGATATACTGGTGAAACCAATGGAAGAGATAGTGACAAGTACATGCCCTAAACCTTCATTAGAAAGGAAGAGGCCGCAGAAAGATCAAGCCTTGAACTGTCCAAGATGCAACTCAACAAGCACAAAATTCTGCTACTACAATAATTACAGCCTCTCTCAACCAAGGTATTTTTGCAAGACATGCAGAAGATATTGGACTGAAGGTGGATCTCTCAGAAACATTCCAGTTGGAGGGAGTTCAAGAAAACACAAAAGATCGTCATCCTCATCCTCTTCGTCATCATCATCGTCAAAAAAGGTTTCTGATGGAGATCCTGCTAGATTTTCTGATTTGACAATCTCGCAGTCACAAAACCCTAAAACCGATGAACCCCAAGGAAATCTCAACTTGGGATTTTCAATGCCACCTCATGGTTTCGAAACTTGTGCAAACATTGTCAACAAAGACAATAGTATCCCTTCTTCATCTTCCTTGACTTCGTCGAACCTTTCAGCTTTGGAGCTCTTGACAGGAATTTCATCAAGAGGCTTGAATTCCTTCTTGCCTATGTCAATTACTGATCCAACCACAGTTTACCCATCAGGGTTTCCTTTGCCTGAATTCAGACCCTCTTTGGATTTCTCTTTGGATGGACTTGGAAGTAATTATGGAAGTTTCCAGGGGGAGGAAGAAACAAGTGGGAAGCTTCTTTTTCCATTTGAAGATTTGAAGAGTAAGACAACTGATGATGTTGAGCAAGATAGAGATCAAAATGGAGATTCAACAGAATATTGGAATGGAGTAATAGGTGGAGGTCCAGGAGGATCATGGTAAAGATAGTACAAAAATATCCAGGAATTGTATTTTATTTTATTTTCATTTTAATTCTTTTTTATGGAGTATTAGTGTTTCATGGTGGAGTGCAGTGACTTGTTTGGATATCTTCAAAAACTAACCTATAGGTACAAGGGTTTCTTAATTTCAACAACTTTGCTTTATTTAAGCTGGATTATATATATCATTACTCTTTGATCATGGTGAGAGTTTGTACCTTGTCTAGGGTTGCTGGGTTGGCTTCATTTTATGGTGAACTTGGATATTATGTAGGGAACATAGCAGAAGAGACGAGAAAATAAGCCCATATTTTTCGAGGGCAACGAGCTAGCACAAATCACATAACTCGTTAAATTGTCTTGAGTTTACTTATACTGTACACTTATCCATCGATCAAGAATTGATCCATATTACATACAAATGGGGATAGGGAGATGATCTAGGTTTGATTTTCATGATGTTACACATAAATTTTACATGAAATTGTTCCACATCCAACGGCATGAGAAGATAAAGTTCTACTTCTGTATCCAAACAGTTGAAGGCCTATTCAACCACATTTGTTACTTTTAACATGAGCCTCTAGCTTTTTTCCCATTAAGGTGATTATTATTTCCTCCATGCCATGTTTCCTTTTCCCTTTCAATTTCACAATCACTCCATTTGATTATTATGTTACATTCCCTTTCCCCCGCCCCCCACGCAATCCATGTAGGCCTAGTAGAAATGATTTCTCACCCATTGTGAATATGATTATCATATGTCCTTGCTGATGTGGCAACCGGTCAAGTTGTTGAATTGTAAAAATTGTAAGTCCACATATGGGCAAGATAACTCATATCCACCATGAGTATGAGATCATTTCTGGTAGATCTAAACCCCGAGGATTTGTTATGCATTATATTTGTGGTTCTTTGCTGTGAATTAACCATGTCATGTTTGATGATGGGATTATACATTGTTTAACAAAGGAAAAAAATAAAATAAAATCTTATTTATTATATTATTCAGTATAATGTATCGGAGGTGTATAAGCATAACCAAGGTCATAAAATCTCATTGAGGCCTATTTTGGAGCAGTTTCAGTTTTTTCTTCAATTATTCTTTCTGTGTGCACAACGTATCGAGTATGCAACAATGAAGGGCCAGGGCAACATAAATTGTAGCAGCACCCGTCGACCTCCATATCAATGATCTCATTTGGAAGTCAATCTAGCGTTTCAGTTTTTTCTTCAATTATCTCTTTCTCCTCCTCTGGTGATTGACATAAACGGGAGCTAGAAAACAAAAGAATCGATGAATTATTTATCTTGAACTCCAAGTATGGGTCAAAGTTTCAACGCAGAGACTTGAGTGCGTTGAACTAGGTCAGGATTTGACAATGTGCTTGGTGAGCATAAAGCATGTTAATTCGTACCTCTATGGTAGAGGTAGAAAGTGGTTCTGCAACTTAACGACCACTAAATAGTAAACAATACACGACAATGCAACTGCTCTCCATGTGCAGTGATTTCTTTACAGCGAATCAATACTAAATTAATAATTCACCATTATTTCTACTCAAAATCTGGAGTTTACCCATCAAAGAAAAAAGTACAAATACTGCGTACCGAGTGTACAAAAAAAGGTTTGATAGAATTCTTACAATCGGACAGTTGGCTCTTTTCATTGGTTTTTGGCAAAATCAACAAAAAAAAAGAGACACCTTACATGTGCTGTGGCGCTGCGCTAAATTGGCGTACATATCTCCCTGCACGCAGGGAAAAATCCAGTGTGCCTTACGTATGCCTTGTGCCATTATCATTCATTGAGGGGAAAAACAAAATTAATGTGCATTCATTGGACACTTCCCAAGAAATCATGATTCGTGACAACCCCGTACAAACACGAGCTTTTCTTTTTTATTTTTAAATGTTAAAATTTGAGACAGTTGCACCAACGTAGTTTTTAAGACACGGAGGTTCATCTACAATTCTGCACAAGGTTGTTTACTCTAATGCAGACTTCTCCCCAGCCTTCATAGGAACTTCATCCAAACAGTCTACAAAGATCACGTGTCTTGCCCACCACACCATGGTCTACACTGTCAAATAAAAACTGTCTCACATGGGTAACTTAAAAAAATACCTCTAAAAGTAAGGGTATTTTGAGAAATCATATGAAAAGTGTTTTGGAAATAAAAAATACAGTATAAAGTTAAGTGTCACTTTTTTTAAAAAAAAGTAACATAAATGTCACTTTTATTAAAAAGTGATATTTGTCATAAAAAAAAAAAAGTGACAAATTCAAAAAAGGTAACAAACAATAAAAAATTGAAAAATAAAAGTGACAAAACGCTAAAAAATGACGGAAATCCAAAATAAAAAAGTGAAAAATACTAAAAAAAATGACAAAAAATTCAAAAAAGTGACAAACGGTAAAAAAATAAAAAAAGTGATCACCAATCAAAATAAAAAACGATTACAAAAATGTAACCCGGAGGAAGTCAAGAAGATGAGAAAGACTTGAGAAAACCAACCTTCCCCACAAATTTTACATATAAATGTATACACTCATTGATAATAGTACAATCATTTATATTTCTATCACCATCAAATAAACAACAGCAATTGAAGATGTAAATGCTCGGAATTCATTTGAGAAAATGAATTTCAAAAAATTTGACAACTCTACACATTTTCTGGTGTCCTCTAAATGCTTGAGGGATCAAGAACCCAAAAAGATCCATTTCTGCCTTCGGAAAATTATCCCTACCGCGAAGAAAAATCCCAATTTCTAGTGCTCAAAGAACTAAGAGTGTGTTTGATAGGGATTTTTGAGGGAAGAATTGATTTTTGAATAGTGATATGATCGGAAATGTGCGGTTGATAAAGAAGAAAAAAGTATTGATGTGATGGAAGATATTATTTTATTGAAGAATGTGTGGTTGAAAATGAGAATTGATTTACTATAGAAAATGAGAATCTGTACCAAACAGGCTCTAAATTAAATTTGCCCTTTTCAAAGACCTGATTGTTCTGCAATAATATGGCCATATTGATTCCACATAGTCCAGGTACTTTTCCATTAACTAGCTTCCCAAGTCTTTCAATTTTCTCCGGGCAATCTATTTCGTTTTTTGGGTCTCAATTTCACAATACAAACATCCTATAAACTTTAGAATGCAACAACCTCCAAAATTAACTTCGGGTAAATTACAGAAAGCTGCTAAATAGGCCAAAACCGAAGTGGTCAACAGGTTTTTTGACATGATTTCCCATGTGGATGGATGGAGCCCTTTATGGGTGAAGATTCTTCTTCTTTGTATAGGTGAAAGGACTTCTTCGCATAGTGGGTGATTAAGGTTTCTCTCTGCAAGAATGACGGAATTGTGGTCTCTGCACTCAGTTGGAAGATTTTAGGTTTTGTTGACGTATTAATTACAGTTAAAAGAGGTTTAATTTGTTTGTAGTGTATTAATCTAATTCCTTTCCTTTCTAGAGTAATTGACCTAATTTCCTCTAATAGCTTAGAACTTGGAAGGATAAACATGCTTGCCGGGAATATAATCATGATAATGAATACAAAAGGATACCAGTTACAAAAAGACAATCAACATATCCCTGTAGAGAGTAACCTGTAATGGGTTTATTTAATGGATGTGAGCTCATTGGTCAGCATTGATTCTAAATATACGAACTTTGAGCATATGTGGAAACTTGGCAACCACCAGAATGAAAACTGCTAGTGTGTTGAAGAAGAGCACAGGGTGTTGATGGTCTGTAGTGTGTGAGGCTATCAGATATCTGCAATAACAAGTATAAAATAAGCATAAATAGATTCAAGTCAAAGAAATTTCCCTGAAAGTGATTAGTCAAAAACCACCAGAACCACAACAAACAATATATATTTCTTTCGTGAAATGAGAAAAGGATATTCTATCAACCTGCTTGCTGAAGAAAATTATAAAGGAAGGATAAAGAAAAGCACCTGCTTAGTTTTATAGGCAAGAGCAGTAATTTAAAGCAAAGCCCATGAGAATCTAATTGTTGACTGAGGCAAACAGAAATGCATGAAAATGGAAGATAAAGTGCTGCATACAACAATCTTAACCAATGGGCAGAAGAGGATGGTCAATATGCAGCTTAAATTTGGTTAACGAGTTGGAAATTCAACACTTCAGAACACTGAAATGCTTTATATCAAATAAAGTATCAACATTGTGTGTATTTTCACCATTTATTGTATCCTTCATATTAATGCCCTAAAAATCAGAGGTTACGCTAGCAAAGGCCCCAATATAAAATTGACAATGTCGTAGAGTTGTTCTGTTCATTTATTCATTCGTCATGTATCAAGCTTCTCCATAAGAGGTGATAGTTGTGGCACTGGGGACAGAAGATATAGGGATTGTGTGGGTAAGGATTTGAAATGGCCTAAAGGTTAAACAAGTCAAGTGAAGCAAAAAATCTAACAAATTGAAAATTCAAAAAATGAATCCAAATTTGGTTAGAGTCCTTTGCAAGTCAATCAAAAATGAGCTCTGACCGAGCCAAATTGAAGTCAAGCTCAAGCAGCTTCACACCATTTTATATATCATCTCAATTTATACTTGTCAGTATATTGAGATAAGCTCAAAATGAGCTCCTTAATTTACAACCTACAGACAAGTTCAAGTAGTAAACTTGGGCAGAGTTTCAAGCAATCAGCCACAAATGAGCAACCTTAAACCCCAAACAGCCATGCACAAGAAGTACATATTATTTAATGTATAATAAATACTCAGAAACTTCATAGTAGTAACAAAAATTAGCCTCACTTTACACAATTTCAAAATCAAGTGCAATTTTTGTTTACCAAAATATGAATTAGATTTACTATTAAAAAATTTCAAGAATACGTGACTATGTTTTAAGTTTTAAGTGTCTGATGCCTGAATATTCAATTAATTGTGATAAGGTCGAATAATTTGATACTCGTCTATGGTAAATTCGGGAAAAAGTAACTGGAACTACACACAAACCAGATTTTCGTATATCATTGCATAGCAACAAGGCTTCGAATTAAGTTAACATCATTGCATAGTTCAATCAGAACTTCGAATTGAATCAATAAGCTCCAAGTAATGATGTTGAACACTTTCTGATATAATGATATGTTATGTCTAGTTAATATATGTTGATCTTGTTATTCTTACCCGTTTCAGTTAATCAAGAACAATGAGAAGTACAAAGTCCATTCCAGATCAAAGGACAATACATGGGTAATAGAGATCTATCATAGCGATCACTGACAGGTACTGTGCAGAATACCTCATATGGTAAAATATATATCTAACTTTAGTGTGTTTATACTTTGAACCATGAAATACGATTGAATCTTTTGACGATTCTATAACCGTAGGAGCACAAAAGACCTCATTCATAAATTAATATATAATTTGTGCTGAAGGTCAGGGCGATAGAAAGCCAGTATGCCTGCAATACGAGTGCTTGTACACAGGTGGGCTTACGTGAGAGAGAGAGAGAGAGAGAGAGAGAGATACTTCAAAGAAAAAATATATATCGAAGATTCAAAGTAAATTATATAACTAAAAAAGGAATATGCCAAAACTCTTTGTGCTCAAATGTCTTTTGAAGCAATGCTACATAGAGCTTCCAAAGAAGTTCTACAAATCATCAGTAGAACCAAAAACATAAAATTGTTGCTAGTGCATCATATAATTTGATTAGTTTACTATCTATGAGCATAGAGCATTAGAAAAGCAACATGAGTTCATTTTTATACAATTCAATTCCAGTCATTAGGATCAAGGTATTATTCATGCTAGGCCAAAAGAACCCACTAGAAATATAATTTCTTGGTCATCAAATAACAAAATAAACATAAGGAACATCGCGAAATAAGGATAAAGAAATTGTGGACATGAAAGCAATGGTGAATAAACACAATGACATATCAGTGCATGTTATGCTAGTGAAATTATCAAGAAACAAATAAATAACTAGACAAACAAAGCCTTGTTGAAGATACCCCAGTAAAGAAGAAACATAAAAGTGGAAATAAAATTAGTATGTCCATAAAAGGCTACCTAAGAGATGAAGAACTTCTAGGTGACCAGCAAAAAAAAATTTGAACAAACCAGAAAATACCTTATCCTCCTGAGGCTATATCTCAAAGTAAACATTTGTTGTCTGTAGAGTAAGAATTTCAGACTTTTTAGTACATAGACTATACGAAAGATTTTTTTGGCTTCTAAACTTAACTTTGTTGAACTGTGGGAAGCTTTCCTAGAAATTTGGTATCAACAATTTCATATGGGGGCATCAGTAATACAATGAAAATCCATAATATATGGATATGCAAACTGGAGTTAAATTATTACAAGTCACGCTTGTGTAAGTGAAAGTTCTTGCACACACTTACGAATTGCAGATAAACCTAAGATTCAACAGTCAGTTATGTCTCTAGCCAATAAAGGAATGCAATAAATATCTGATAAGCATTGGATATTTCTCATAGGCTTACAGAAACTCAATGCTCAATTGATTGAGCTCATTGGCAGGGATCTCTTGCATTGCGTGATGCAAGAATGATTACAAAAGTCAATTTTTCATATGCAATCTTTGGATTAGAGCAAAAAAAGAAACAGGAAGTTCAGAAATTTCTAGGAAATGTAGTAGAATTTAAATCATGCAGCAGCAAAAATAGAAGTTTGACATGGTGCATTAAAAATTAACCTCACGACAAAAACTAGGAGTCATATATCAGAGGCTGGCGGCAGCATTGTTGAGACTGTCCAAACCCTCCTCTAATCTTCTCTTAGCAGACTTCGTTCTGTAACACCAGAGTTCGAAAGCCTCACTCAGGTCGGGATATCTTAGCTGCTCAGTGTCTATCCAGTCAGCAAGAATGTCAGCTTGGTCATTTGATGGTAGTGCTGAAACTAACGCCACCATTGCTCCTTCAATACTCTGGCAAAGGTCTTCATCCATCTTGTAAGCAAATGCAATATCCTTGTTGCTCATTGAATCGAGAACGGGCTTCAGTTTCCTTATGTAAGGAAGCCATGATTTGAGCAGCAGCACTCGGGATGAAGCTGGAAGAATTACATTTCCGTAGCCCACTGCATCCAATACTTTTGCTGCCACTTCTATCAGCTTTAGTTTTAAACCCCACATGACAGAATCAAGTTTCTTGTCTTCAAGAATGGCTAATAAGTTATTTGAAATATCCACCCATTTGGCAATAAAATCCTTCATTAGATCCATCTTGGGCAGAATATTGCACATCCATTCAAGATCGGATAACCTACACATTATTTTGTTCTCTGCTAGCTCGACTATTACATCAGATTCCAAAAGCAAGGATAGTTCCATTTCAAATGAGGAAAAAATCTTCGACAAACCAATTCTAGTCTCCAATTTTACCTCGTCATCGGCTGTTACAAAAGGCATGTCATCGTCATCACCAAGCATGTATTCAACTTGTTCTTGGGCTGAAGTTCTAAGCTCATCTCCAAATGGAGGGGCAAGATCATCAATGGAAGTTGCAAAACGTATAGCAGAGATGTAAACATCTTTCGTTGCACTTAAATCGACTGGCTGGATCCTCGCCAATATGGGCATGGTTATTGGACCCAGTTGTGAAACTACTGTCAAGATCCCGTCCTCTTCACTGTCTTCCCAAGGAACAGCCTCCACGTATTGAATGCAGGTGTCTACTATTCCTCCACAGTGTGAAGCGACAGCCACCCGAAGAATACCAATAGCAGATCGAACGGAGTCCCACGAATCCAACAGTAAGTCCACAGGAAGATAGGGGCTCTTTAGAAGTTCTACATAGAGATCGTGATCAAATTCTGAGCAGTGAATGTCTATGCAAGAACAATAGCTTGGATCAGAAATATTACAACATCACTAGTAAGCCGATCACCAAATTTAAAGGAGTTTCTCCCTATACATTCATCCTTTAGTCAAAAAGGAACTCACCAATATCATGCTTCATGTAATTCTAAGCATGCTACTTTGATTTGGCATACAACTGGAAAGAACAGACAAAAGATGGTCAAATGAAGCTTCACTTCATTTAGAAAAAGATATTTCACAAATCCCATCAAGCTAAAGAAGCGAGAACCTAGAATAAACATGGAGCAGAGAGATGCATTTGCAGTGATAATCAATAAACCTTGCACATAAAATACATCAATCGGTTCAAGTTGGAATGGGAGGTGAATGATGGTGCTAACAGCAAGAAGGAAGAATATATGCAAATCGAGAATAGTGAGTTACCAATAAATTAAAAAGTCAAGAGAGCAATCTTGTTTTAGCTTTCAAGTTATCAACTTCTAAGATTTACTCTTTTCATTTCCCATAGTGAGAAGTCACTCTACATGTTTGCGTGAGAATATATGACATAGAAGACACTGTTAATTTTATGAGCCTCACTGGAAATCCACTAAATAACAAGTAACATTTGACTTTTTCTTCAATATTGATTGTTATTAAATCAATAAACAAAAACTACCATAGGGTAACCATTTCCAATATGGAAAAGAAGATGCAAAGAAAATAGCAATGCGGTAACAAATAAAAGAATCCCTTTTGAGAATTGCCTTCTTTCCTATTGAAAATTCCTCATAAGATAGCACCACTTATTCACTTCAACTTCATTTTGTATCTTCGAAACAACCAATAAAATTAAGCATATCTTGGTTGTTTAATCTGCTATCATCTTTACAATCACGAATGCCCACTTTTGAACAAGGAGACTGACATGACAAATGCTTTCAATCGATGCAATATAACATATGCCTTAAAAATAACTGTATGCAAGCTGACAAATTGAATCCCAAACAAAGAAAAGTTTACCCATATTTAAAATGCAAAAGATTGAATCTCTGCTTCAGATTCAAAACTTGAAAAAAACTATCAAAATCTCTGAGAATTACCCATCGAACATGAATTTGTTAATTTCAGATAAAATGTTCAACTCAAAATGAATGAAATAGAAACAATTAAACAAAAGGGGGAGTTTAATTTACCGTGGAATCAAGAACAAGGTCATTCCTAATTTTGGAATTACAAAAAAAACCCTCAAATCCGGAACAAGATAGCTTTTTGATTAAGTGGGTTTCGTTTCCATGACTTGAATTGAAATGGGTTCTAATTAATTTCTCAAAAGCAAAGAGATTAGACGGAAAGACAAGATTAGGGTTGTGCATACGCTCTTGAAAAGAACTTTTTGGACGTTGTCCTATCCTATGCAAATATTGCAACATTGACAACATTCTAATAACAGGTAACAAATTATTCGTATACAGCTTTTATTGATTCTGATTGGATGATTGAGGATAATCTTTAATTAATCTTTGTTTTTTTTAATTTAATTCAAGAAGAAAAAAATAGATAAGATAAGGGATAGGGAAAATTACCACTAACACTAACCCTATCTTTTTCTTTCTTTTTATTATAATTGCTTTTATTTTTATTTTATCTTGCAATTTTTATTTGTTTTTATCTTTTCTTACACTTTTCAGAATTTTCTATCAAGAAGCTCCAACATTGAGAGATAGACAGATCAGTGATTTGCTTCTTGATTTGTAAAGAAAAGTCACATCTATTTCTATCTAATACGGATAATATATGGTTATCTATAACAACTATTCTACAAATTTCTCGATTTTCTAAACAATTATTCATAAATTCGTTAAAACTTTCTAATAAACAATTTAACAAAATAGATAAAGTATATTTGTCTAGTAGCATAAAATATAAAGACTTGAAGCAATATTTTTGTAATAACCACAGAGTACTTTATCGTTCAACAAATTATTATTATTTTTACTTTCTTTTAACTTTTTCTTGACCTTCTAAGAAATGTTTAAAACTATAGGCAAAAAAAATTTCATCATTTTTAAAAAGGTTAAAACAAACTACATTAATCGGGATAAAACACATCGAACATAATGAATCCAAAACAAACAGGCTAAGAGACCCGCCCGGGTCACGGGTCGGCCCGCGATCCCGATTTTCACGGGTCATGGCCGGCCCGTCCGTCTTGACACCTCTAATTACCACTAACACTAACCCTATCTTTTTCTTTCTTTTTATTATAATTGCTTTTATTTTTATTTTATCTTGCAAATTTTATTTGTTTTTATCTTTTCTTACACTTTTCAGAATTTTCTATCAAGAAGCTCCGACATTGAGAGATAGACAGCTCAGTGATTTGCTTCTTGATTTGTAAAGAAAAGTCACATCTATTTCTATCTAATACGGATAATATATGGTTTTCTATAACAACTATTCTACAAATTTCTCGATTTTCTAAACAATTATTAATAAATTCGTTAAAACTTTCTAATAAACAATTTAACAAAATAGATAAAGTATATTTGTCTAGTAGCATAAAATATAAAGACTTGAAGCAATATTTTTGTAATAACCACAGAGTACTTTACCGTTCAACAAATTATTATTATTTTTACTTTCTTTTAACTTTTTTCTTGACCTTCTAAGAAATGTTTAAAACTATAGGCAAAAAAATTTCATCATTTTTAAAAAGGTTAAAACAAACTACATTAATCGGGATAAAACACATCGAACATAACGAATCCAAAACAAACAGGCTAAGAGCATCATAAATATGNGAATCCAAAACAAACAGGCTAAGAGCATCATAAATATGTTTGAAAAGAGAATAAAACATTATAATATTGTTTTTGAATAAAATAATTGCTTACTTGGCATTTCATCTTTTAAGATTTGCCTGAAACATAAATAAAGTAAAAGAGAATTATAAAGTAAAGGAAGTATAAAAAAACTTACTTTAATTAGAAGTCATTAACTTTACAATGATTGCGAGAGATTTTTTTTTAGTACAAGAGTTATAGTGTGCTCTGTGTTTTTCGGTGTGTATTCTTGTGTGAAAAGCCTTTGACTTTTATAGAGATCAACTTCTTACAAAAAAGGTAAACAATATTTTATATTTTTACAGGTATATGATTTACAATTAAAGATATGGATATTAACTTTACAATTGTATGAACATAATAAAGATTTTTCGTTTTGCTCTTCCTTTTTTACTTTGGGTTAATAATCGTCCTTGCTCTTGAATAATGGTCCATCGTCTATTTTTATGTCTTTTCTTCATTTTGAATTATTGTATTATTTGTTCATCATTTCTATGTAGACTTCTTCTAAATCTGCGTTTGTTTCATTAGTTTTGCCATCGGATATATATTCTTCTTACTTTGTATCTGATTGGTTTTCTGATAATTCATCATTTGTTTCTTGAAAAGCCATAAGATATAATTCTTTTTGCTGAATATTTGGTGCCGGAAATTTTCATGTTTTAACTTTTATAGCAAAATGTTCTTAGCAAAAAATAATTACATTGTTCCATTGCGTCATAAGTCTGAAATCATTATTTTGAATTTCTACCATTGCCGCTATCTCTGATATCCGTCTTTCTTAATTAATCTGTCTAATTTTTATTTTGGTATTTGTTTTTGAAGAGGGTCTAAATCTTTTCGCTCCTCCATATATTATAATATAATGATAAGCAGGTATTACGATACCATTATTTACAA